GAGACCTAATCCTTGTCGCGCGCGGCATCGCGCGCGCGCGTCACGCACGCATCATCGTCCGCACCTGTCTGTTGTCCGCGGTCTTCCCCTCGCGCGTGTTCGCCCAGCGCTCCTAATCCTTCGAGGCGTAGGCCTCGTCCGCTATCCCCGCACGCGTCGCCGGTACTCGCGCGCTCCCCGCGCGCCTCGCCCCAGCTGGTCAATGCCCGCGCGTCCCAGCCACCTTCCGCGCGCCAATCGCCTACGGCGCGCCCTACCGCGCCTGCTCCCTCGTGCGTCGCAGCCATCGCCCGCGGGCTCCGATTGTCTCCTGCGCATTCCCGTGCGCCTGCTGCGTCGCACGCATCCTTCCCGCGCTCGCCTGCCCGCTCGCGCGTACCATCGACGCCCGGGCCCAGATCACCTATCGCGCACCCGCGTACACCCGCGGTTCCTCGCATCTCGCCGACCTCCGCAGCCTGCCTTCTTCCTGCGCATGGTCGCGCGTCACTTGCGTTCAACAACTCATCGCCGCGTCTCCGTTTAACACCTCGGCCCGTCGACCCTTTGCGCGCATCATGGCACGATGCGCGCCATACGCCCGATAGCCGGTCCTCGCCGATCCCGTCGTCCCCTGACGGCCATGGGTCCCATCCATCCAACCCGATACAATCGCCGGCTCGCCATATCCAGCCATCTTCCATACCTAGCCTTCCCCGCCGTTCGAACTCTGTATGCCACGCCCGTTTCTTCCTCGTGCACGGCCCACAACATTGACTTGCCTTTTGTGCCTTTGCTTTCCGTCGTCTTTTGGTCCGGCACTTCTTAACCTTCAACTCGGCCTGTGGACCACATCCCTTTGGCCAATCTCGTACGAATGATGGCCGAGATATTGGACTTGATGGCTCTTCCAGCATGTTCTCTAGCCATGAAACCAGACCATCGTCCACCTCTTTGTCGGACTCGCCGGGGTTGATGACCACTTCCGTATCAGCCCGCGCCAACGCGCAGCGCCCGCATGATGAAGGATCTGGTGTTGCGTGTCCTCGACTTGTCTCGATCACGGCTTCGCCACGGCCTTGCTCTCGACGATAGGTGTGATCGACTCGGTTATTAGCCTAACTCTCTCACGATACTTGAGTTCACTTGGTTATTAGCCTCGTTTCACTCGCGAATAGATCGGGTCTTAGCCTCTCTAATCGTTTGAACTGGCTCGGGTCTTAGCCTCACCAATTCGATTTGTATGATCGAATCTCACGACTCTCAACACACGGTTTGAACTAACGTTCTTTTCTATTCCATCTTCGACTTCTTTAAAACAATGAGGGAACTCCCCTATTTATAGATCCTAACTA